CTGCTATGTGCCTGATGAGGAAGGAGGCTGGGCTGTGCCGGGGGGGGGGGGAGCAGGGCCTGGGGTCCAGGTCCACCTCCACCCCCAGGGCAGACTGATGCTGCTGGACAGCTCCACACACTGGCTCAAAGCTCCGAGCCCTGGACAGCCCCTCGCTGCCCTCTCCCCTCAGCTCTAAAGCCCCCACCCCAGAAGCAAGTGCAAGGGCTCCAGGGGAGAGGAAAGAAAAGAGGGCCCTAGCCAGCCCTGGGACCACCACCTAACTGGGCTCTCTCTGGGCATCACTGGCCACACCGCTACTGAGCTGCCCCACCCGAGGCCTGGTCCCAGGAGGACCGGGACGAGTCAGCCCAACGCTGAGCCTGCTGGCCCTCGTAAAGATGAGGAGAACTCAGCTATGCCGCAAAACTACTTCCTGGAGGGAAGCTCCAGAACAAGATAAAAACACAAAGAGCACTCAGAAATACAGAGAAGAGCAGCGGAGGGATCAGGCTGGGGTCAGGCTGCAGTGGGCCTCCCCTGGGGCAGCTGGAGGGGTCTGCTTTCTGCTGCCCTCATCACCCGTCAGGGGCACCACATCGCTTTCATAGTCTCAACACAGAAAATTTCAAGAGTTCTCTCACTCTGGCCCTGGTACACTTCCAACTCCCCAAACACGGTGACCAGTGGGTATCCTGGAGGTCACCTTCCTCCAGAACGGAGGTTCCTAGGAGGTCCTCTGGGCGGCCGGAGGCCTAGGAACACCGAAGCATCCTCAGAGTAAAGCGGGGGGTGGGGAGAAGGAAAGCCACACCTCTCACGGCCATTTCTGGACCGTGGAGCCAAGATGGGGGAGCCAGCTGTGACCCCCAAGAAAGAGCCCACATAACAAGGTCACACGTGAGCATCAGTGGCTTTTATTACTTGACCCCAAAGGTAGATGCTGCGGAGGCGTGACGAGGGCAGGCTTTCCAGGTGGGCCAGCCCCCACCCCTCTTCATACTTGAGACCAGCTTCCTGCCCAGAGCCTGATGGCCTCTGTCTCAGCGACTCCTCCAGGCAGCCCTCCAAGATCCTCCCTGCAGAACCAGTTGCACTGAGCTGCTCGGACAGGCCTATTCTCTTCCCTAGATACCCAGCAAAATGCTGCGGCATGGGTGCATGGGGAGGAGGGGGCCCCCGGGCTTTCAGGTCCGTCTCCTGGAATAGTACCCACATTCCTGCCCTTTGAGGGCTCTCCAGGCCACTTTACTGGAGAAGGGGACACAGATCTCTCAGGACAAACAACTGTGATGTGTGCCCATCAACTGGGAGGGGACAGATCTGGCCTCTAGGACACACAGGGACAAGCATGACCAGGATGCGCCTGGAGTGCATGCAGTCCCAGTACCCCTCAGATGAGCCCTCCCTGTCACCTCCTGGGCCTTGCCCCTCCTGTCCCCTGCTGTCCAGCAGCTCAACATGCTGACCGCCTGGCTCCCCTCTACACCCCGGCCACAAGTGAGCTGGCCGGCACAAACGTCTGCAACGGTGCGTGGAGTGAGTGAATGAAAGAAATACTGGCCGAGGGCCACAGGCCCCCTGTGCCTCGAGCGCACCCACTCCCCCAGACACACACAGACAGCCCCCAGCAGCCACACAGGAAAGCCAACCGGCTCTGAGCACAGCCCTCCATCGCCGCGTCTGGGGTGGACTGGCCAGACTACAGGAGCCTCCAGAAGGACCATCACGAGTCAGCGTGACAACAGTGACCCCTGCTGGAGCCGCTGTGGGTGGCAGCGATGCTGGGGAGCAACCTCCCTTCCCCCCTACCCCCAGTCCCTCCAAACCACACAAGAGAACATTCCAGGCCTTCCACTGCCCTGTCTCCCAGCCCCAATCCTGGATTATCATCCCCCCACCCCTACCCCTGCTTCCAGCCACCAGGCAAACTTCTATTCATCCTTCAAAGCCCAGCTCAGGAACCACTCGCATGGGGACACTTGCCTGATGTCTCTGCAACCCCAGGGCCAACTGCTCTCTCTCCTGGACCCCAGCCCATTTCTGTGCTTGGGGACACCCATCCTCAGCTTCCAGAGCGCCTCCCCCACCCTGCGCCAGCCCACAGGTACATGCTGAATTCAGACACATCCAGAAGACACCAAGGCCCAGGGGTACCTGCGTGTAAACACGGGTCCAGGCCAAGACCACGGCTTGTGAAACAGCCAAGCCCCACCCTCAGAGCACCCAAGTCCTGGGCACCCTAAGCAGCTTCCCACCCTGTTTTCCATTAGCAAACGAAAGCCACGAGCGCGAGGGCAGTTCCCCCAGAGGTGCTCCTCGGCTTCCACTCCTGCCTGCCCCCACGCAGCCTGCCGTGGCCAGGCCCTCCGCATGGCCATTTCCAGAAGACCTCAATACTTAGGGGAAGCCGACAGACCAAAGGCCCTCAAATGACAAGCACGCATGCCTGCTTCCTCAAAAGGCACCGGCCAACCACGGCACAAACTCTGGAGGATGCAGCTTATCATGGAGGAGAAGAGCAGGCAGCCAGGAGACCCTTCCACAACCCCCTGCAATCCGCCCGGATGGTTCCCAGCTCCAGTGACCTGAGCGCCTCCTCCGGCTCTGTTCCTTCTTAGCATCCAGTTCTTGGTTGTGAATCAGATCACACCAACCGGCCTCCCCACCGCACAGGCATGCAGAGCTGAAAGAATCCTGCACGCCCACCTCGGCAGCACCAAGCATGGCTCTGTAAATGGGACCCTGAGTGCAGAGGGAGCGGGAGGGGACAATGAAGCAGGAAAGAATGTTCCCATGACGCTGTCCACTGAGGGCCCAAGTCATTACCCATTTCACAGAAGGGCTAACTGAGGCACAGGCGGTAATGCTGACCAGGTGGAGGCCAGGCCACCCCCCAGGATAGGCTCTCTGCACAACAGAAAGTGAAGCCAGAATGCCTTCATTTGGGGCTGCACTCCCCCTGCGAGGGCTGAAAGCCAGCCACGACGCTTGCACCTCTCCTCTGGAGCCCCTGGAGAACTCGGGTGGGGGCATGCTCAAGCACCACGCACAGGCCCCGAGCTCCCCTCAGCTGGCTTGGCTGTCCCCACCAACCCTGTCCAGGGGCTGGGCGCCGATCAGGTTCCCCAATCTCACTTGGCACCACGGACGTTCAGGGCTGGATGAATCTGTGTATGTAGGGGAACGGGCACTCTGGGCACTGTGGGGGGCTGAACAGCATCCCTGGCCCCCACCCACTAGGCACCAGGAGCACCCCTGAATTGACAACCACAAGCTTCCCCAGACACTGCTCAGCAACCCCTGGGGCAGGACCTCAGGGAGAGACCCACTGCTCTGCTAATGCGGAGCAAAAACACTTTCAGATACCCTCCGCAGCTATTCGTGTGTGGCTCAAGCCTAGATCAGGGCAAGAAGGCAGGATTTTTTAAGGGTCTCAGGTCATCCGGAGGGGCTGCCAGGTACAGGAAGCCGGGGGCACAGTCCCAGGATGGCCTCTCGCCTCAGAAAACAGAGTCCAACTTAATCAGTGCGGCGGGATCTTGACGACGTACAAAAGCCACAAAGCCTCTTCTGTGGGAGGCCGGGAGGGAGCCCAGCATGCAGGTAGATGCAGGACTCGGGGCAACTTCCAAAACACGTTTCCTCTGACTTTTCAGTATTGTCCAATGTTTTTGTTACTCTGAGTCGTGAAGAAAGGTGCTTTGAACAGAGGCAACATGTGGGCTTCACCAGCTGGGATCCTGCCCAAAACCACAACGGTGACGCAGCCTGGTGTAAGTGGTGAATTTGGTGCTTTGAAAACCCCAGCACCTCGCCTCTAATCCCATCCTGACAGAAAACCAAGAGCAACAAGACAATAGAACCACCACCAGCGGGGCTGAAGGCGTCTCCTCTGGGAGGCCTGCAAGGCTGGGTCTCTGGGGGCTGCGGCATCTTGGGAGGGGCAGGAGGGACGCTTAAAAAGAAAGTGGCCTCTGCAAGAAACAGCCTATGACCAAGAGACACCAGGCGATGTCTAGGGACATCTGTTGTCACAACCAGGGTAGGAGGTGTCACGACTGGGGGTGCTCCCGGCACGGAGCAGGTGGACGCGCTCAGTGCCTTACAGCGCCCACGATGCTCCCCACCCAGAGCATGACTGGCCCCAACGGGCCCCAATGTCCAGTTTCTACTATTCCTCCAACCAGCTTCAGAGCTCCCCCACCACCACCCCCCGCGCCGCCCAGACTAAGCAGGAGGCCCCAGCGGGCCAGACTGCAGGCCCCACTGCCCCCCAGCTAGCAAAGGCACTCCAGGCTCCTTGCATACCCTGGCCAGGCCTCCAGACACGAAAGGCAATGCTGCTTTCTGCTGACCTTTTCTCAGAATCCACTCTTTCTCAGTATCAGGGGAGAGAAATCTCCCCAGCATTCACTTCAATGAGAAAGTGCTGGATGCAGGAGACCACACTTCCATTCCATCTCGGAAAATACCATCACGGGATGGTGGGAAGTCGCCCCCAAATGAAACCCGATGGCACCCTGCCCAAAGAGGGAGCAGCTGAGAGGCAGCATGGCCACGGGCCTGCTCGGTACAGTCATCCCCCCGGGGGCTGCCTGTTCCTGCGGCTGTGGCCCTCCGGCTCCGAGGCAGCTCACAGGGGAAATAAATCGCACCGCCTGCGGGGAAGTGCTTATTTCTCTGCCTCCGTTCCCCGAGAGGCAGGGCTTGCTCTCCAGACCATAAAGGGCCCTCAAGGGCCTCATGGGAGGCCCAGGGGAGGGCTGCCCCCACCACACAGCCATGACCACTCCTCCCCTCCAGCCTGTCCTCAGGTCTCAGCGCTCAAGTCCTGCAATTCCGTCCTTCCCAGGTCTCTCTGTTCCCTGCCATCCCCAAGGCACAGCGCTGAGCCTGACACACAGTGGGTGCCCTGGTGTGCGGGGGGGACACACAGGTGCTGGGAAGCGGGCACTGGAGGACGGTGGGGAGTGCGGCAAGGGCCTGGCTGCCCAGACTCAATCCCATCCCCCACTTACCGGCTGTGCGCACACAGGAGAGTGGCTCCCCATCTCTGGGCCTCAGTTTGCTCATCTGTAAAATGGGGACAATCATCCCTACCATTGAGAGTCCTAGAGAGCCTGCCCGAGCATGTGCTGCCACAACTGGGCAATACCACACCCGAGTCTGGAAGTGGGAGTCCTAAAGCCCACATGGGCTGGGCGTGGGGCTGGATCTGCAGGGCTGGAAGCTACAGGATCCCCGGCCCAGCCCCCTCACGGGCCTCAGACTGCTGAAAGGCTCAGGTGCTCACTGGCCCAAGACCAGAGGTGCTGGGCCTCACAGGGACCCCACAGCCCACCTGCAGGAGGCTCCCACCCAGCACCTTGGCAACTTTGTTGCTTAAAAATGAGTCCAAGCAAACCTGGCCTAGCCCACCCTTGCCAGAGCACCTCTGCTTGGGCCGTGCACGTCTGGACTGCTGCAGCCTCTTCCAGCCGAAAGGAAACAGGGCTTGTCAAAATCTGGAGCAGAGGAAGCTGAAAGGGAGGGAAAGGACGAGGCACACACTCTCCCCTGGCCTCCTCAGAGGGCAGCAACCCCATAAGCATGACACAGAAAAGGAAACAGAGAGTCAGAGAGGCTCCACAGCAAGAAAGAGGCTGAGCTGGGATCTGACCCTGCCCCTCTGCAGGGGAAGCAGTGTTCCACCCCAAAGCAGGCCTCCCCCCTTCCTTTCCTTTCCTGCAAAAGGAAAATGCAGACCTACTGGGAAAAGGGGTAGGCAGTTGCATTTTTTCCACGGCAAGCAGGGCAGACAGAACTACATCACCAAACAGGTTCCCAAAAATGATCCTTTGGGAAACTAACTGGCCATCTGTGAGGCAGAAAGAAATGTAAAAAGTGACTTACCGAGGGAAGAACGCATGAGGCGAGAAATCAACACCCCAGAGTTCAGAAGGCTGAAAGGCAACATGTGGACTTGGGGCCAAGTCACAACGTCAGTGGCATAAGGGTGCGGTCCTGCCCTCCCTGTACTAACCGTGAGGAACCCAGAAATCGGGGCTCCTTGCAAAGCACTGCACACAGTACCGAGAGATAAATAAACGGAGTCAAGACGCTGCGCTTCAGCAGGAGAGCTGGGCGCCGACTCCCATGTGCCCCCCCCTCCGTGGCCCCCACTGGAGCTGGGAGGAGCATGACCTGAGGCTAAGGTACCAGCGGGCACACGTGTGTTTTCTCCTCCACAGCAGGTTCCTGGCGGCCACACCCGAAGCTCACGCAGCTCTCAACGCCCCGTGCCCAGCACAGGTGTGCAACCAGACAATGAATGCTTGCATCTGGCTGGCTGTAGACAGCTGCAGGTGCCAGAGAGGTAAGCAAATTCATGTGAGAAATTAGAAAACTCTACTGTTCTTTTCCTGACAAAATGGAAAAACAGGCCTATTATTTAACTCCAGCCAGCACACTCCTCTTTTGAAGGAGGTTCTGAAACGATCATTTTTTATGGGGAAAGACACAGAGGAAATTCGACACTGAGACCAAATGAGGAAGTCTGGGTCTGATGGAAAGGGGGAGCCAGTCCTGAAGGACGGAGGTCACCAGTGGGAGCCTGAGTTTCCCTCAGAAGGAATGACACCCCTGAGTCCTCCCTCCGAGCCTTTCCCTGTGACGTCCTTCTTTCCCCCGTTCTTAAAATCTCAGCTCCGGGCGCCTGGGTGGCTCAGACGGTTAAGCGTCTGCCTTCGGCTCAGGTCATGATCCCGGGGTCCTGGGATCGAGCCCCGCATCGGGCTCCCTGCTCAGCAGGAGGCCTGCTTCTCCCTCTCCCACTCCCCCTGCTTGTGTTCCTGCTCTTGCTATCTCTCGCTCTGTCAAATAAATGAATAAAATCTTTTAAAAAGGGGGGGTCACCTGGGTGGCTCAGCCGTTAAGCGTCTGCCTCCGGCTCAGGTCATGATCCCAGGGTCCTGGGATCCAGCCCCGCGTCGGGCTCCCTGCTCAGCAGGAGGCCTGCTTCTCCCTCCTCCACTCCCCCTGCTTGTGTTCCCTCTCTCGCTGTGTCTCTCTCTCAAATAAATAAAATCTTTAAAAAAAAAAAAAAAAGTCCTGGGACGCCTGGGTGGCTCAGATGGTTAAGCGTCTGCCTTCGGCTCAGGTCACGATCCCAGGGTCCTGGGATCGAGCCCCGCATCCGGCTCCCTGCTCCTTGGGAGCCTGCTTCGCCCTCTGCCTCTCTCTCTGGGTCTCTCATGAATAAATAAATAAAATCTTAAAAAAAAAACAAACCTCAGCTCCAATCCCACGCCTCCTACAAGAAGCCTGCCTGATTCCCCCCAGCTTCCGCCGAACTCCCCGTGACAAGGACAATCACCACGAGCACACGACGTGCGGCCCCCCGCTGAGCGGAGCTGCTCCCCTGGAAGCCTGGTCCCCCTCCCGGCCCAGGCACTCGGGTTGGGCTTCCTCCCGTCCAGCCGCGTCCGACACACGGGAGGTGCTCCTGACACCCTCCCGACTGCGCCCCTGCAGAGAGCAGGGGCCGCCTCCCGAGACGCGGCGGGGCAAGGAGCGCGCGCACCACCGGACCCGCCACAGGCACTGGGGCTGGCGGCGCGGCGGGAACGGCTCGCCGCAGCGCGGGGCTCGGGGCCTGCCGACCGGCGTCGGCGGCGCTCAGCCCTCGGCCGGCACGGCCCTCGGCGCTGGCAGCGCAGGCTCCCGGAACCGGAGGCCCGGCGGCCCCGGGCCCGGCTGGGGGGACGACACGCCGGTGGGCCGAGAACCGGGCGCCGGGGGAGCCCCGCGGGGGCGCCGGGCCGGGGCCGGGGCGCGGGCCCTGCTCGGGCCTTACCTGCTGCGGGGGCCGCCGCTCCGCCGCCGCCGCCGCCAGGGGCGCCGGGGCCCCGCGCCCCGCGGTGCCGGAAGTGGCAGTAGGGCCGCCGGCAGGGCCCCCCCGGCGCCCCCGCCCAGTAGGGGCAGTCGATGGCCCGGAAGAAGCCGGTGGAGCGTAGCATGGTCCGTCCCGAAGCGGGACCCCGGCCCGGAGCCGCCCGGGCCCCCGGGCCGCTCACTGGCGCCGCGGTCGCCGCCGCCCGCGCCGCACGGACCCCGCCGCCGCCATCTTGCCCCGAGGCCCCCGCAGGCCCCCGGGCGCCGCCGCAAGGGACCTCGGGAGCGGCTGGCCGCGGCGCGCCGGACCAGAAACGCCGGCGCTCGAGGGACCGGGGCGCGCCGCGGGCGCAAGGGCCGGGGCAGGCGGCCGCGGGAGGAGGCTGGAGGGCGCGGGCGGCCCGGCCGGCAGCCTCCGGGAGCTTCGCCGGCGCCGCCGCCCGGCCCTCCGAGGCGGCAGCGGAGCCATCCCGAGCCCGAGGCCCCGACGGCGCCGGGGCTGTCCGCCGCGCGCCTGACCAGAAAAAAAATCCCCCAGGACCCCGCGGTCGTTCGCTTGCTTTGAATCGGCGTTTTAGTAGCATGTGGCCCTGAGGTGCCCCCTGCTGGACGAGACGAGTCTTGCGGGCGCGCCCTCCCGGTACCTCGCCCCTGCCCCGCGGTGCGCTTGGCTGTCGAAGCGCGCTTGTGGGCAGTGTGATGCCCAGACGCGCGGCAGTCCCCGTGCGCCCGCGGGTTCCCACCGAACTGAGCGCCTGCTGTCTGCCGGGACCTGCCCTGGATGAACCTGCGTAGAACCAGACAAATGAGGGTCGGTGGGGTGGGGCGAGGGGAGGCTCAACAGCCGGGGCGGGGGAGGCCAACATCTTAACGAAAAATTGGGAGAATGGGCGTCTGGCTGGCTCAGTCGTAGAACCTGCGGCTCTTGATCGCGGGGTAGTGAGTTCGAGCTTTGGGCATGCAGTTTACTTAAAAAAAAAAAAATTGGGGCGCCTGGGTGGCTCAGTCGTTGGGCATCTGCCTTCGGCTCAGGTCGTGATCCCGGGGTTCTGGGATCGAGCCCCGCATCGGGCTCCCTGCTCGGCGGGAAGCCTGCTTCTCCCTCTGCCACTCCCCCTGCTTGTGTTCCCTCTCTCGCTGTCTCTCTCTCTGTCAAATAAATAAATAAAATCTTTTAAAAAATAAAAAGATTGTAAGACTGACCCATTGCACGTTGGTGGGATTACAAAATGGTGCAGCCTCTACTGGGTATTTACCCCAAAGATACAAAAGTAGGGATCCGAAGGGGTACGTGCACCCCGATGTTTATAGCAGCAAAGTCCACAATAGCCAAACTATGGAAAGAGCCAAGATGTCCATCGACAGATGAATGGATAAAGAAGATGTGGTATATATATACAATGGAATATTATGCAGCCATCAAAAGGAATGAGATCTTGCCATTTGCAACGATGTGGATGGAACTGGAGGGTGTTACGCTAAGCGAAGTAAGTCAATCAGAGAAAGACATGTATCATATGACCTCACTGATATGAGGAATTCTTAATCTCAGGAAACAAACTGAGGGTTGCTGGAGTGGGGGGTGGGGTGGGAGGGATGGGGTGGCTGGGTGATAGACACTGGGGCGGGTATGTGCTATGGTGAGTGCTGTGAATTGTGCAAAACTGTTGAATCAGAGATCTGTACCTCTGAAACAAATAATGCAATATATGTTAAGAAAAAAAAAAAGAAGATAGCAGGAGGGGAAGAATGAAGGGGGGAAATCGGAGGGGGAGATGAACCATGAGAGACGATGGACTCTGAGAAACAAACTGAGGGTTCTAGAGGGGAGGGGGGTGGGAGGATGGGTTAGCCTGGTGATGGGTATTAAGGAGGGCACATTCTGCATGGAGCACTGGGTGTTATGCACAAACAATGAATCATGGAACACTACATCAAAAACTAATGATGTAATGTATGGGGATTAATATAACAATAAAAAATTTTTTAAAATGGTGCAGCCACTCTGGAAAACTGTATGGCAGTTCCTCAAAAAGTTCAGAGTAACCTACCTTATGACCCAGCAATCCCACTTCTGGGTGTATATCCAAAAGAACGGGAAGCAGGGTCCTGAAGAGATGTTTGCACACCCCTGTTCACAGCAGCAGGATTCACGGTGGCCAAGAGGTGGGAACAGCCCATATCTAGCAACGGATGAGTAGATACACAGAATGTGGTATATCCATGTAATGGAACGTCATTATTCAGCCTGAAGAAGAAAGGAAGGGGCCCCGACACCTGCCACGACGTGGAGGGACCCCGAGGACACTGGGCTCAGTGAGAGGAGCCAGACCCAGAGGGACACATCCCGCAGACCCCACTCCCAGGAGGTCCCCAGAGGAGTCCCGTCCACAGAGACAGAGAGCTGGGGCTGGGGCAGGGGGTGGGGAGTCCGTGCTTTGTGGAGACACAGTCTCCATGTGGGGAGATGGAATGTTCTGGAGACGGAGGGTGGGGGTGGTCGCACAACAGGGCGAGTGTGCTTCATGCCGCTGAGCTGTGTGCTTAGAAAGAGTTAAAAATGGAACATTTTATGTTATGTATTTTTACCACAATTACAAATTAATTAACTAAGAAGTACAGCAATGGAAGGCAGGTGGGATGGGGAGGGTCAGAGATGACTCTCCAGAGGACACAATCTCAGTTTTTGTCCAAAGTCTGTCTCCTGGCTAGCCAGTGGGTCCTGAGGGCAGAGATCCCTTGCCTCTGTGACCCTGAGTTGAGTGCACTCAGGGTTTGAAACCCTGAGAGTCCCTGGTTTGAAATGCAGTAAGTGTTAACAAGGGTGCATACAATATTGCAGGCGGGTTTCTAGGCATGGGACTCTTTCTCTCTCTCTTTTTTAAGATTTTATTTATTTGTTAGAGAGAGAGAGAGCACGAGCAGCGGGAGGGGCAGAGGGAGAGGGAGAAGCAGGCTCCCCTCTGAGCAAGGAGCCGGACACAGGGCTCCATCTGAGGACCCTGGGATCATGACCTGAGCCTGAGACAGACGCTTCACCGACTGAGCCACCCAGGTGCCCCTGCATGCGACTCTTTCTTGAGCAGGCATCCAGGCAGGAGACAACTGGAGGCTGTGAATGTGTGAGGGTCCTTGTTGTCCAAACCAGGAGGGCGATGGGGAGCCATGGAGGGTTGGAAGCAGTGAAGGATGCAGGTGGGTTTCTCCGCTTGACAGTCACGTCTCTCCCTGGGGATTTCCCACCATGGCAGCCTCACAAACCTTCCCATTCTCCCAACAATGTAGGGATTTTATTCACACCTGCCTGCATTCCACCCTCATCAACCCGGGGATCTCAGGGTCAGGACCCAGCTGGACACAGAATCTACAACACATATCTGTAAAATGGGTCAATGTGAAGGAATGAATCTGCCCTCCATTCTAAGGGGGGCAGAAAACTGCATTTAATGCGTGCCACCTGGGGTAAGACTTCAGTGATGAAAATGAGAAATGCAGCAGAGACAGACGGGAGGCAGCTCCCACAGGGCGTCCTGGGCAGATTCTCCCCTCCGTTTTGTTTTGTTTTTGTTTTTTTTAAGATTTTTTATTTATTTTTTAACAGGGAGAGACAGTGAGAGAGGGAACACAAGCAGGGGGAGTGGGAGAGGGAGAAGCAGGCTTCCCGCCGAGCAGGGAGCCCGATGCGGGGCTCGATCCCAGGACTCTGGGACCATGACCTGAGCCGAAGGTAGACGCTTAAAGACCGAGCCACCCAGGCGCCCATCTCCCCTCTGTTTTATTCCATGAAGTGGATTTTTCCTTTTTTATTTAGGGGAAATTTACATTAACAAAACTAATCATTTTATTTTATTTAAGATTTTATTTTTAAGTAATCTCTACACCCCAGGTGGGACTTGAACTCATTTCTCTGAGATCAAGAGTCACATGCTCCACTGACTGAACCAGTCAGGCGCCCCCATAATTAATCATTTTAGAAGTGAAAATTCAGGGGCATTCTGTACATTCACTATTCTGTGCAACCATCACCTCTATGTAACTGCAGAATATTCTGAAGCCAGAAAGAAGCCCCATCCCCACTAGCCATCCCCTCCCCAGCCCCCCGCCCCCACGAGCCCCCTTCCCGTCCGTGGATGAGCCCGTTCTGGACGTGTCACCCACGTGGACGCACACCCCACGTGGCCTTCTGTGTCTGGTTCCCTCCCTGAGCGTCGTGGGCTCGGGGTCCTCGCTCCTGGTTGCGGTCGAGTGCCATGCCCGTGTGTGTCCGTTTTGTGTGTCCGGCCCTCTGTCGAAGGGCATCTGGGCATCGTGGACTGTGTGGCTGTGGACACACATGTGTTTGTTTTCGGTGTGTGTGTTTGAGCACCAGGGTTTTTTTTT